TGCAGTGGATCTCTCGCTCCAGTGCCCAGGTCACCTCAAGCCATTTGCTCTGGCAGTCCAAGGCGCTTCTGTCCAGGGCTGGTTGCCATCTCTTGCCCTGGAGCTCAGCTGCACATCACACGGGCTTGGCACGCCACCAGCTCCCTGCCGGCAGGAAAGACGCAAACTGCAGGTTTTTGGGCACTTCCCGCTCTCGCACCCTGCCCTGTTCCTTCCTGTATTGCCCTGCTCTGGTGAGGCTCCAGAAAAACCTTTGGTCCCAGATGACACCCAGAGGTGCTGGAGACCTCTGGCTTGTTCGATGGCTGCGTAGGAGCCAGGGCTCTGTAGCAACGGGACATGCAAGCTCAGCAGAGACTCCTAAACTCATGGCTGAGCAGAGCCCTAGGAGGGGACATCGCTATCCCACGGTGGGTTTGGAAGGTGCCGTCTTAATCCCTTCCCTGTCTTCTCCTGACAATTCTGCCCTGCCGCAGCTAGAGGAAAGTTCCTGCACGTAAGAGGGAAGCAGAGGGCCAGGATGTCCCTGCAGAGACTCTCCGGTCCCTCCTGATGCCAGCCTTGCCCCGGCACCTCTGTGCTCTCAGAAACAGTGTCCAGAGGGAAACAGTCGCACATCCTTTGGGCAGCTCTGCTGCCGGATCCTGCCTGCGAAGGCTGCTTAGGGTCACCTCAGCGGTGGGCTGTCTTTGGCACTCCTAAGTCCGCAAGGCAGAGTGAGCAGTGAGGTTCCCTGGCACCTGATCAGCACGCTGAAAGCTGTCTAGTTGGTTGAGTACCTTCAATATTCTTTTTTAAGTATTATAATTACACTGTTGTGACTGCCAAGGTAGGTGCAGTCCTGCCAATGTGGTGATGTCTCCTGCCAGCTGATGTGCGCCCTGTCTTGGTTGGGTAGAGCTGCTGCGGTGGGAAGCACGGCCACATGGGCCAGCCCTGTCCATGCTGCAGGGTGGTACGGCTGTTGCCCTTTTCTTGCGATGTGCACCCAACAAGAGCCTCTAGCAGATCCCTGCTGCCAGCCCGATGGGCTGCTGAGAGCTTGTGTCATCATGCTCCCTGTAAAGTGTCCCCTTGCCAAGAAAAAGCCCTTCCGTGGGTGGGTGACTTTGCTGGGTTGCTGTGGAACGGCTGGTTTTGAGAGGGGCTTCTCTCCTGCACAGGTGTCTGGGAGGTGGCAGGCGATGTTTATCTCAGTTGCATTTTCTGGGGCTGGAGAGTATGTGTGTTATCAGTCAGCAGATGGGCCTGGTGAATAGACGGTGGAGACAACTGTATTTCCTCACGCAGGCTCGTTGCCTGCCGGGAAAGGAGCCAGCCAGGCTTCGTAGGGGGAAGTGCAGAGCTTGGACAGGCTGTGGTTGGGTTCCTCCTTCAGCCAGCGCCTTTGTGAGGCAGAGACTGCTGCTAACACCCACTGTGTGCTGGTATGGGGTGTCCTGTGTAAGGATGGCCCAAGGGCCACCGTTCAGCACTGTCCTTCCAGTCTCGTGCCCTCTGTGATCTTTGGACCCTTAAATTAAGCCTGATGCTCCCGGCAGGGACTTTAATTGTCCATCAGTCCCAGGCAGGAGCCTGGTGGGAGCAGGCTGCAGACTGGTGCGCTGCCAGTCATCAAGGCTGAGGAACTGGTGGCTTGCGGGGGACAGTCGAAGATGCCTGTCCCATGTTCTCTCGCATTTCTGTGCGTCTCCCACTAGCTTGCAGGGAAAGCTGTGTGGCTGCCGGGCACCACGACATGGTGTAACAGACGTCTTGGGGAGAAGCGGGCAGGGAAGTCTCTGGCCAGAGCTTGCCATGCTGGTGACCCTGCTACTGCAAGAGGAGCTACAGACCTTTGAGGGAAGAGCCGATGGCCTTTCTGGGAGGCTTTTTGGTTTTCCTGAGAGCTGGTAGTGGAGAAAGTGAAGCAGATGGAAATCCCCGCCGTGGGCAGGGTGGTGTCCCCGGAACAGACAGTGTTGGGAGCCGACTCCTGCAGTGTGGTGGAGAGGAGGGGACCGGGAGGGGGACAGCATGGCCGGGAAGCCATCGCAGTTCCCCAAGGCCAGTGTCAGCGCTCGGGGGGGGAGCGCGTGGAGTGGCAGGGCAGAGCACCCCAGTGTCCTGGCTTCAGCCTCCCTTCCTGCTGCCTGGAGCTCGCATCTCCTGCCTGGCCAAGTGAAACCATGCTGCCTTCCCCAAGCCCACAGCTCGTCGCTGACACCACATCAAGCAGGTCTGGCGAAGTGGCGTGTCCCACTGTCCCCTCGTGTGATACTTCTGTCTTTTAGGTTGTCTTGGGTTTTCCCTCCTCCATATTGGTGTGGGAAGGGACAAGGTGATTTCTTTCCATGGTCCTGTGGTTGTGTGGCCTTGGCCTGCTTGCTAGGACGTGGGTGATGTGTGCAGCAGGAAAATTGGTGGCTGGAGGGTCCTGATCCACAGTGAGCAGTGTGGCATCTGCATTTAGGGGTGGATTTTTTGGAGTCAGTGCTCTCCCGCCCAGCGTACAGTGGGTAACAGCATGGGATGCTGCAGGAGGATGGACGTGGATGGTGCAGGTTGCTGACAGCTATTGCTTGCCTTTTGCTGATGCCGGTGGTTTGATGAACCTCATCCAGTAAGACGAATGGATGTGACAGGATCACGGTGCCCTTCATGGCCCTGCTTGCTTCCCCACCTCTGCAGGAGCTGGGCACGCAGCTCCTTCCCTTCCTCTCTTTGAGGAATGATCTCCCTTCAGACAGCTCTGGGCATGGTGCTGCCACGGGGGGAGAGGACTGTACAGTGGCTCACAGCTGTAGGAGTTCAGGCAGGAAAATCAATGTTTATATTTCTCTTAGCTGGGAAAGATTCCTTAAATAACTCCAGTAAATAAATACCTTGTAAAGTTCAAACTATGAAGGCATGGTATATGAACCAGAATGAATTTTCAAGCGCTCTCTTGCAATAAAATGGATTTGTTGAGTTCAGGCTTTATTTGGAGAAATGTTTGATTTAAGAAGGGAGTTGAAGGTTGTATCTGATCTGTTTGTGAGGGGGAGCTGCTCTTCCAATGGCTGTGGAGCACGGTCTGGAAATGTGGTTGGATTGCTGCTGCTGCGGCTAGAGTATTCCCAGGAGGGTTTCTTGTGTAGCCAGCCAAATGGAGGGTCACTCTCCTCCTCCCCAGGGTAGTTTTTGCTGCATCCTCTGTCCCCTCAAGACCCCGCTGCTGCAATGCAGTCTGCTCAGCCGCCTTGGGAAGCTGGTTGTGCAGGTGCTGCTGCTTGGGATGCTGGAGACCAGCCAGGACCCGCTTCCCTCCGCAGACTGCACCAGCATCTCATAGCTTTCTGCGCTTGCCCTCTGTGGCATAAAACGTTGTCTTTCCCTTCTGTGTTCCAGCCAGCGTTGTGGTTGAACCTGGTCCTTGAAGGGACGCTAGAGAGGGAACCCACCGGAGTGCAACCCCCATGATTTAGGCTGCTGGTTCCTTGCTCTGGGACAGCCTGAATTTGCTGTTCCCAGGAAGAACTTGAGGGCACGGGGTGGACTCAGAGGCTTCTCCTGCAGGGCTGGCCCTGGCCGGGGACTCAGGCAAGCAGCGCAGGGTGCAAGGCGTTGGAAGGGGACAAGCTCAGCTGGAGAGGGGCGCAGGTGGCCTGGAGCTTGGGTTCAAGATTGGGGCTTTAGAGTTGGTTGCGTTATCTGGGAGCAGGAGTGCATGGACGGAGGGCTCTGGACTCGTGCTGCACGTTTACCTGAAGGAGATCTGTTTTGCCCTTGTGCAAAGGAGGAGGAAGCAAAAAGCTCTGTTTCAGCCCCACCTTTGCTTGAAGCTGTAGGAAACAACCCTGAGCAGGGAACAAAGGGCACCATGCAGGGCTGGGATTCATTCTGCTGTTTGTCAGCATGTGTGCAAGCGTGGGATCACCTTTCTGAAAGCACCAGGAGGGCTGCGATGAGGGAGAGCTGCTCCCTGCAAGCCCAGAGGTTGCCATGGCCTGTGGAGCTGGTGCTGCTGCTGCGCTTTGCTTTCTGAAAATTGAACCTGCCTAGAAAACATTACTGCAATTTTCTGCCCTGGAGTAAGGTGGCTCTGGCGTGGGCTGGACCCGTTCTCCCATCAGGGTTTCAGGCATTCCCGGGCAACTCTGGAGGCTGAAACCAAGGACTGGTGCTGACGGCAGGGCTCTGTGGCCTCTCCGCTTCCCAGGTAAGCGGGGCAGAAGCTGGAGCTGAGACACGGTGCCCCCCAAAGCCTGCTGATTGGAAATGCCTTGCCTCCGCCAGAGGTTGGGGAGAGTCAGGAGCTGCTGCTGAGCTCAGATCCTGCCGGTGAGCTGTCCCGGCACCGGCTTGCCACGACCCGCCTCGGCTCTGGCACAGAGCTACTGCATGCAGGCTGGCCAGGCCAGGCTTCTGGCCCCAGAGCCTAGAGCCAGGTAAAAGCACCACCGTACACCACAACATGCTGTTCTTTGCTCGGTGGCATCTGGTGTGAGATAACACAGTTATCCCAGTCTGGATAACTGGTATGCCCATGGTGGTGAGCCAAAAGGAGAGGAGAGAGACAGGAACAGAAGGTGAAACAGAGGTGGTCTGGAGTGATGCAGAAGGAGGACCCTGGGAACAGCAAGAAGGCAGAGCAGAGTGTCACCTCCTCCAGAGAGTTACAGACAAGCTGCAGGCATATAAAATGGTTGAAGTTGGGTGCAGAGGTGGCGTGCTTGCTCGCCAGGGCGCATCCCCACCATGAGAGCAGGGTCGGTGGGGTTGCAGGGCTGTTTCTTGTGCTCTTCCTGAAGTGTTTTGGGTGGAAGCCAGTGCATTGCTGTGCACTTGGAGAAATCAGTTGTCGGTGCCAGAGGAACAAGTGCCTGGAGAGCACTGCCTGGATTGCCAGTTGTTCTCTTCTGGGAAGCAAGGTCCTGACCGTGCCAGCCCAGGAAACACATGGTGCCCCCATGTACTGGGTGGCCCTGGCCTCACGCTGTCTTCTGCTTTCTTCCAGCCACTCCCACTCTCCTGGCTCCATGGCTGCCGTCCGCGAGTGGTCCTGCACTCGCTGCACCTTTCTGAACCCCGTCGGCCAGCGGCAGTGCTCCATATGCGAAGCTCCCCGCCAGAAGCCTGACCTCAACCACATCCTGCGGCTCAGCGTGGAGGAACAGAAATGGGCTTGTGCCCGCTGCACCTTCAGGAACTTTCTGGGCAAGGAAGCCTGCGAGGTATGTGGCTTTACCCCGGAGCCAGGGCCCAGCGGCTCGCCCTTGCCCGTCATCAACGGCATCTTGCCCAAACCCGCCGTGCTCGTGGAGCCCAAGGGCACGTCTAAGGAGGAGTCTGCCAAAGCAGAAAGCAGCAGCGAGGACTCGGAGGGGAAAAGCCCCGATGAAGCCGATCTGGAGAGTGGCTGGGCTTGTCAGCGCTGTACACTGCACAACACGCCAGTGGCCAATTCCTGCTCTGCCTGTGGTGGCCCACGCAAGCTCTCCCTGCCCAAGATCCCTCCAGAGGCGCTGGTCGTCCCTGAAGTCATCACCCCTGCCGGATTTCACATGGCCCCCTCTACCCCGCAGCCTTTAGTCTCTGCAGAGATCTCCGATGGTGATGCCGTGGCCACGCAGGGTCCAGTGGCTATGGAACAAGAGGCCCAGAAGATACCAGCCTTCAGTCCCTTCTCCCCGGGGCTCCAGAACAACCCTGTGCCCCGAAGCCGCCGGGCGGTCCAGCGGCAGATGCCAGGCCCTGAAGCCTCCCAGCCCGTGGCTCAGAGCTCAGCGGGGCAGAAGGGCTCTCCGCAGGGTCAGGCCAGGGCTGCCCCAGCTGCCCGCTTCCAGGAGCTGCTGTCCAACAAGCGGCTGAGCGTGCTGGAGGAGGAGATGGAGGTCAGTCCCTCCCACTGGAAGTGCAGCTCCTGCTCCCTGCTTAATTCCGCCGGGGCCAGCAAATGCGAGGCTTGCAATGCCCAGAAAGGCAGTGACACCATCAATCTGGTGGGCGACTCGGTGAGATTCACCCCCTGCAGCCCCTCCAGTCCTGACTTCACCACCTGGTCCTGTTCCAAGTGCACCCTCAAGAACCCCACCCTGGCCCAAAAATGCAAAGCCTGCGGCTCCTCCAAGCTGCACGGCTTCCAGGAGCACGGGACGCAGGGTGAGCCGTCCTCCCGCTGCCCCGACTGCGGGGCTTGCGACAAGGGCAGCTGCTCCTCCTGCGGCAGCAGGGCTCCGTCTGCCCGCAAGGTCGCCCGTCTCTTCCCGTCCCAGCTGCCCACCAGCCAGGAGAGACCAGGCCAGTGGGCTTGTCCCGCTTGCACCCTGCTCAACGAGCTCAAGGCCAAGCACTGCGTGGCCTGCCATACCCCGCAGCAGTACGTGGCCCAGCGCAAGGGCCTGAAGCCCCTGAAGAGACGGGAGAGCATGCACGTGGAGAAGAGGCGGCAGACGGACGAGGGAGAGGCCAAAGCCCTGTGGGAAAACATCGTGACCTTCTGCCGGGAGGTGAGTGCTTGCTGAACTAGTCTTGCTCCTGGTTTCACTTGGAAGTGGGTGCAGGAAATCTGGGGACGCAGCAGACAGAGGCTCAGAGCACCGGCAGGGGTGCAGGCAGAGGAACTGCTGCCACTGCCAGCCACTGCAAGCGTCCAAGAACCGTGAGCTGGGTCTTGGCATTTTGGTTTTGGTGTTTGTGAATGCACAGCTGCAGCTGCAAATGGCTTGCCCCTGTTTTGGGAAGGGCAGCTGAGGTTTAGCTGTACCCTGGCTCCAAGTGAGTGTCTCAGGAGTGCACACGAGTGTCCTGCCCTCCCACTGTGAAGTATCTGGCTTGATCTGTTGGGTTTCAGTCTCAAACACCACTCTCATGACCCCATTTTATTTCCCTGAGTGGCATAAGATGCACCTGTGAATGCTGCTCTTTTTCTGCCTTCCTGCTGGGGGGGAAGCCTCCAGCTCTTCTGGACCAGATGGAAAGGGAGTTGCAGTCCCATTTTGATGTACAGACAAGGCTTTTTCTGCCTGGTCCGAGGAGCACGTCCATGCCGGTGCCTCCGCTGCGCAGACTGGGGACCACAGAGGTGTTTGGCTCTGGAGGGAAGCTGTTGAGAATCATCCTGGTTTGGGGTTGTGGTTTTTTTAATTATTACATGTCCACCTAACAGACGTGGGTGTCTCTAGCAGAGAGACCCTGATTCTGCTTATCCCCCTCTTTTAAGCAAGTGAACAGCCTCTTTTGTAGGCAGGGAACATCTGTTACATCCAGTGGAATCAGGCCTGAAGGATGAATTATGAGAGGTGGCCAAGTCGAATTAGCAGCTTGCCGCTGCCAAGAAGGGGAGGCTGCCTTGCCCCATCCAGCACAGCTCTTGGTCAGAGCCTTGGCTGAGCTCATTCAGCTCCCTAAGCCGGCAGTAACGGGCTGTTAGATCAGCGTGGGCCATCTCCTGAAACTCCCCCCTAAAACTAAGTCACTGCTATGTTCTGACACTGTTTATGGTAAGTCAAGGGCTCTGCAGGTCCGAAGGAAGGACTGGCAGCGGTGGTGGGACAGTGCTGCTCCCATACTGGTGCTCGCTCTGCTCTCGGTGTGCCTGCAGCCTCCCGCCGATGCTCCTGTTTGGGCTGGCATGTAACGCAGCCTCCAAGCCTCCTTCTGTCCATGGTGTTTCACAGGCTGTTCAGCCTTCCCCTGGAGAACAGTGTCAGGCTGGCCAAGTTCTCCTCTGCCTGTTGTCCCCGAGTTGCGTGGAGCAGCCCCTTGCTGCGCTGTTCCCTGCAGGGATTTCTGCTCAAGCTCCTGCTCCCTCCTCCACTCTTCCAGGGGTGCCTTTTCCAGCCCTCCTCAGTGCATGGCCCCGCTTTTAGCTTTATCCCTTCTCTTCCATCTGGGAAGAGAGCAGAGCTGACTTCTTCACCTCACTGCCTCTGCACAGGGCGTCTGTGTCCCTGTCTTGTCCTGTCCCCTGTCTTGCTTATCCCGCTGTCTCACGCTTCTTCTCTCCTCTGATTAACCATCCTTCTTCCTTTCTGAATAACAACACGCATCAGCATGTTCGCCAGGGCTAGAAAGACAACCCAGGATTCTTGCTGTCGTGCTCTGGCGTCTCTGCCTGCAGAGCCTTTCCGTGTGCTGGGGGAGGCCCCGTCTCTGTTCTCCTCCTCCTCCACCCGTCAGACAGCTCACGGTGGGCAGCCAGGCCGTGCAGGGCAGGGCAGCAGCCTGCCTCGGCCCCTGCGGACCCGGGGAGGTGGCAGCAGAGAACGTCACGTCTGGTTCAAAACGGCCTGAAGAGGGTTGTTGGCAGAGCAGGAGGAGTGAAGGAGGTCCGATGCCTGGATTTATCCCCTCGCAGGAGAAATAAGCACAGCTCCTTGTCTGGCATCATCTGTGAGCGGGCTCAGCGCTGCCCAGGCATGAGAGGAGGTGCCTGCTCCACTCCCCACTGCTCTGACCCTGCC